TGTGTCTTTTATTTCATAAATTTGGCAATGAACCGTCAAAAGGAAGGGACATGAATCACCATAGTTGATTTTCTTGGCAAATCTTTGATTTCTTCACTTGTTGTTCTAGAATATTTTTTTCCCTGAAAATTATGTATCCCCAGATCAAGTGTTATTTATGTCTTGAGAATATGATAGTAAGAACATCTAGACTCGCTTTCTATGACTTGTTGCAGACTCAAGTGTTTAAACTTCATAATACCACCCCATTTTATTGGGATAAGGCTTTGTTGGGTTGAGTTAATAAGTTTTTTTTTTCTTACCATTGGGCCGAAGAGGGTGAATAGTAATGCGACACACAACTACTTCATTGTTTTGGTTTCTTTGTTTCTTTGTGTTTTGCTTGGAGCTTGTGTTAAGCTTCTCTTTTTTCAAATTTTCTTTCTTATTTTCCTATAGAGGATTCCTTGTCCTCCCATGTTACTTTTACACTTCCTTTTTGATTAATAAGATTATCTGGTTTCCTATAAAAGAAAAAAGATTATAGTTTTTTTTCCATGTGGTCTTGATGCCCATTTAAATGTTGACGAGGTGTTTAGTCATTGTGTGTTTAAAGCTGCATTGATCTGGGAGTACCCAATCTTTTATAATGTCTAACTGATGTTATGGATTAGCTTATCCATCAACTATTGGAAGCATTGTCTTGGGCTTCTTGATCGTAAGTCAGGATGAAGCACCCTATTGCTTTGATTGTTTATGAGTGCTCTGGATTGATGCAAACCCTGTGTTCTCCTTTTTGTTAGAGGTTCAAGTGTATTCAACATATTTGCTTGTGGCGAAACAAAAATAGTATCGTAGAGCCTGAAAATTCTTAGAGCAACACCCAGACTGGGGGTCGATTTCGAACCATTTGTTGTGTTTCACATTTGTTAGTCCTTCTAGTTTTTGTAACTATGACTTGTTCTAAAGATCTTGAGAAACTGGGCTCATTGTTCTTTCATCTTCAGCCTTTTTCACCTGTGGCCAAGGCTTTTTAGCACTTGTTTTTTTGTGGAGGACCTCCTTGTGAGTATCCAGGGTCAAATGAAACCACAAAGGTGGGTTCTGACTTGGTTGACAGTTTTGGATGATTTAAGTTATTTTACTTTTTCATAATAAGTAACCAAATTATTCAATTCTCCATGCATAGCAAACATTGTTGCTCGAGAAACACATCCCAGTTAGATGTTTATGATAGCTTAAATGTCAGTTTCCTTGGCATGAGGAATACATTTCGCAACGGTTATCCTGTATGATGTCTAACTGTCTATCTTTCAAGATAGATTCATTTTCCATCACATACAATATGACTACAAGCATATATCTGTTCAATTAAGTGAAGTCCTGTGAATTTTATCTCCTCTGTTTGAATCATGAAATTGGTAAGAGAGTCTTTATTTTGTAAAGTACAAACCCTGTATAGATTAGCACCCAAGATATGCAGAATCAACACTCTAATCCGTTCATTCAAGATCTCAAAATCATGTAGGTGATATAAAGCTATAATATATTCACAATCTTGGATTCTCTATTTATTTAATCTACACAGGTGTCTATGTATATCGATTGGGTTAACAGCCTTTTTAATCTCTTAAAACTTTTTGAATCATTGCTGGANTTTTTTTTTTTTGTGTACATTGATCGGCTTGATGTTACATTTTTTGGTTGAGAGTTAGCTTCCTAGGGTATGGAGAAACTTGAGTGACGATGTTCTTTATTATTATCAGGCTAATTTCACTAGACCCCTTTTTATTAATTAATTTAATTTTTTAACTTCTTCTTAAGGGTTGTTTGATATACAGGTGATATAGTTATGTTAGACAATATATTTGTGTTGTCTTATGTAATTACAATTATTCACGTGAATTTCTCGAATAATAATTAACATGGTTCAATTTATNCTTTGTCCATCTAGATCTTGGGCTCTCTTGCTATTAATAGGTTTTGTTTATTTGTAGGTTTTGCTTATTCCTGGCCTTTTCTTCTTTTCCTCACTGTAGGGCATTATTGGCTTGGAAAGAGGATTTGGTGCTCTTCATATAAGATATGTGCTCAATTTCTTAGTTTGTGCATTGTGTTTATGTTTTGATGTTGGAATTCGAAAACATCAACACTAGGTTGTTATTTCTAAGATTTAGTTGGATATGTTCGAACATTTAAAAGTATTGCCACTTTGTTTGTTTTTTTTTTTTTTTTGGATTAAGCATATGTCTTGCGCTCCAATTCACATATTTGGCATTAGAAATAAAGTTGTTTGGGGATATTTGGCTGGTAGCTTAGGTATACACTGAGCTTCCTAAATGATAAACTGTAGCTTGAAATGCTGAGTGTTCAATTCACCTATTTAATCACTTAACCTCATTTTTGAGATCCGAATGGCATGGGTGAAATAGTTGAACTTCTGTATAACCCCTCCCTTTGTATTTTCTTTCCTTTTCTTTTTTTGGCATAATTATTCATATTTAGATATGTAATGTTTCTTTATTTTTATCTTATCTTCAACTACTTTTGTTTATTATTATGCTTAAGCTTTGACTCACGACAATTGATGCTTCTGTAAAGGCCTAATTAGATGAACTAATTGAGTAACACCGGTTTTAGGCACAAAATATTTAAAACACATAGGAAAATCACCTTTTTAGCTACTCCACGTAAGAAAACATTCTGTAGCTTTCCTCTACAAAAAAAAAAAAAGAAAAAAAAAAGCATGGTTTTCCATTCCAGCTCTAGATTTCGATTATGTGATTTATTTATTTTATTTTCGGCTAAATTAATGTTCTAAATTGTCATGATAATGCAAAGTTGTAGGCATCTTGTTAGAATAAAGGCCCAAATCTTAAATTCTTTCTTTATTTTGTTGTGTCACTACTTTGGAAGGAGAAAGAAAGATACAACACTATTTGTCTTTTTTTATGCAAATTGTATTTTTAGTTTATCTTTTTTCTATAATAAATTATTAGTAATTTGTTTTTTATTTGCATATAAAAATTCCAACTGAGAATCGATAGGCTTTTAAAGCTTGCAATTAAACAACGATATCACATTTTTGCATCAAAGACTTCGATATCGTTAATTTCTTCTTTTAAATTAATAAAAATTAATTTAACATTGATGTTCTGCTATACTTTTTTAGTGTTAATTTACATCAAGGAATTTTGTGATGGCATGGGCACATCTTTTTTTTTTTTTTGTGTACATTGATCGGCTTGATGTTACATTTTTTGGTTGAGAGTTAGCTTCCTAGGGTATGGAGAAACTTGAGTGACGATGTTCTTTATTATTATCAGGTTAATTTCACTAGACCCCTTTTTATTAATTAATTTATTTTTTTAACTTCTTCTTAAGGGTTGTTTGATATACAGGTGATATAGTTATGTTAGACAATATATTGTGTTGTCTTATGTAATTACAATTATTCACGTGAATTTCTCGAATAATAATTATCATGGTTCAATTTACAGAATTATTTTGTGCAAGTTGAGTTGTTTATTCTTATTGATTCAATAAATACAAATAATGAAAACTACAAAAAGTTTGGCCTACAACTCAATTTACACACCAAACTTTCTTAGCATAATCATTTCCTAATTGGATGCGTGCTTAGCTAAATACACAACTATTATTCTCACTAATTGTAAAGTTCACTTATTTGGCTATGGATATGGAAAATATTAAATCCTCAAAATATTTTTCCACATGCAGGATAATTTAGATGCAAATTCACTTATTTCAAGCTTTTGATCAAAAAAGTTTGTCCCGTGTAAAATGTTTGACCTTTTTTTTTTTATTTTGAGTTTTCTAGACATGGAAGGATACTGTTTACACATATCTGAAGGCCTCCTAAAATAATTAGTGGTAGACCTCAACAGAGATATAGGCACTTTATCAAGCACACAAGGGTTATTGGATCTCGAAAAGTCTCCGTCCTCTATTGCAAGTCTATACTATATAGTTATTTCAAGATATTAGTAAAATATTTAACTGATTTAAAATTACACAAAAAAATTATTATTCAATTACTTTAACGAGTGCATTAGTATTAAGAAAGTTGTCATCTATACTTTTTCTCAACTGCTCGTCACATTATATGAAGTTTCATTGACACTTACGGGCTCGTTTGGTAACATTTATAGTTTTTGATTTTCTAAAAATCGAAAAACATAATCAAAAACTGAAAAACGTCTTTTTCTCGTTTTTGAAAATCGTTTCTCGTTTACAAAACGATGACAGAAAAAAAAAATGGTTGTCAAACGAGTTTTTTTTCTTGTTTTCTCTAAATATCAAAATAAAAATGAAAAACAAAAAATATAAATGTTACCAAACGAGACCTACTTTAATTATTTTTTTGGCCTTCACCCACACTTCTATGTAGCGTACACACCATTATCACAAGTGATGAGAATTTTTAATGTTAAGCATTCTTTTGCTTTTTTATATATTTAACTTTGTATTAGATTTTTGTGGTTTTATTAAAAAGAATAGTTGAAATTTTCGTTGTTTGTTGTCAATGTTCACATGTATCTACAAGAGTTTTACAACTTAATTTGTCAATTGAATATGATAATCACCGTGTGATCAAATGCTTCAATGTTAAATAAATAAAACAAAATCATACAAATAAATATTCAAGTTGAAACCTATAATTCAAAATAGTTCACACGTAACGCACGTATGTAACAACTAGTCAAACATAAGTATGGATTGAATTCAATATTAAATTCTATTTTCATATAGAGATTTAACATTAAAAAAATTAAAAAAAATTAATTCAAATTCTCACAAAAAAATTCATTCAAACAAACCTGATCGTTTGTTACCTTGAGTTTGATTAACCGATCGATAACTTTCCAATCAAGCCCGACTAAAGCGATGATGTGTCCGCGGCTCTCCAATTGGTCACTATCATTTGAGGGCCTCTGCCACGTGTGCTTCCCCACATCTCGTCCACCAGCAAGCCACCAAGCATTAGCTCACTTGGTCTTCTTACTCGCTCTCTCTATCTGAACTGCTCTCATCTTCTCTCTCTTCCATTGCCGTCCAACTGATCTGATCCTACCACTAATTCGCCGGAGGCCTAGGTTTTCTGGAGAAGAGGAACGATGGAGAACGCGGACGTTTTCGGATCGTCCACGGCGCCTCTCACGTGGCACGACTTCCTCGAGCGTATGCGTCAACCCTCCGCTGCCGATTTCGTCAAAGGCATCAAAGGGTCTCTCTCTCTCTCTCTCTCTTTCTCTCTCTCCCCCACCCCTATTCAATTCCATTTCTATGTTTTGAATTATATATGTAATAATTTTCACTGATCTTCCTTTTAATTGAAACAATTATTGCTAATGACTGTTCCAATCAACCATGTACACACACAATGTGTACACTTTATGCACACATATACGCGCACGTTAAACTGAAATATAATTTGAATGTGGGCAGTTTTATAGTGTCATTTTTGAACAATGCTCCGGACCCAGAAAGGGACAGTGCAGCTGTACAGGAGTTTTTAAGCAATATGGAAGCGGCATTCAGGGCTCATTCACTTTGGGCGGGTTGCTCCGAGGAGGAATTGGACAGTGCTGGTGAAGTGAGTTTTAACCTTTTCTACTCAATGGGTTCTTTGTTACATGATATCAGAGGCTGAGCTAGAAACTTTTTGTAGTGGGTGCAAACATTAACTATAATAAGATTAAAACAATTCTATAATAAGATAAAAAGATTGAACTAATAATAACTAAAAAAAACCTTAAATATTGATTAGTGACAAAAGACAATTCTATTCCAGTCATCTATGCAGGGGCAGAGCCAGAAATTTTCATTGGCTGGGCACTTTAGTTACCTATTAATTTTTTTCTCCTAATCAATAAAAATAAAAATCATGCATTTATATTTGTTATTGTCATACTTGATACATGAAGTCCATTTAACATAAATAAAAAACCAAAAACCAATGTGTAATGTATGTATGTACAAAAAAGCACTATTATCACCATTATAAAAAAGTGAGGCTAGTTGACGTGTTGTAATTAAAAAATTATTAATCTGCCGGCGGTCAACCATCCCTTTACACAATCAATTTTTTATAATTTTTAATTAATTCGATAAACTATCTTCCAAACATCATCATTGAAATATCGGAATAGCAAAACAACTAAACTAAAATTTAATAACTAAACATAGTAAAAATTTTGAAAATCAATTGAAACATAGTAAGCTCTATAATCAATAGTCAAATAAAAATAGAGACGAGCTCTTATGAAAAAATTAAAGTCAATTGAAGATAAATTGTAATCACATTCAGGTTCAAATTAAGAAGATATAATAAAAAATTTATAAATATGAACTCTAAAGTTAAGAGTAAAAAGACTGAACAATTGAAACAATAAATTAATGTGGTGGCCATAACTAAAATATATTTGTATGATGCTTAGAATATATAGATATACAAATGTATCTATGAAATTTTAAAAAAAAAATTGAGGGTGAGTCAATGCCTACCCTTGCCCGTACTTAGCTCTGCCATTGCATCAATGATTGTTTCTGGCAAGTTTTCATAGTTTGAAAAGGGTGCATAAGGATGTCATAATCAATGTAATAAATCATATTTTTCTTAATTCACCTAATTTAACAATGCAGAGAAAAGGAGGGGGGAGGGAGACGAGATATAAAGAGAACAAAGAGTTTCAAGATAGTTTTTTGTTAACATATGGAGGGGATTCAGTGAACTAATAGTATAGAGTATAGACTTTGAATCCAAAAATGTGATGAATGATTAATTGGATTAAGGTGTATGAGAGTTTCTTTTTGAGGGGGCAAATTTGAAAATGTATCAAAAATACACAAAAATTAGATTTTAAGAAAAATTGGGTGGGGACAGTATTGAGTGTCTCCTCTGCCCCAGCATGATATTGTTTTTTTATTCGCCNGATTTTAAGAAAAATTGGGTGGGGACAGTATTGAGTGTCTCCTCTGCCCCTGCATGATATTGTTTTTTTATTCGCCTTCTGTGATGCGAACCCTTAAACGAATTCAAGAACCCACAGGCAAATTGATTGAAAACTTTTCCAGAAAGTTTACAAATCAGATTATAAGAACTAAGAACCCTAAACCCAATGCTTTTAAGAAACAAGAACCCAAGGTTAAAAGTTCAAGAGAAAGACGTCACACTCAAGATTGAGCGATAAGTCGATGAACGTCGCAAGAAAGATTAATTCTTGAAATAGTTTTTGGAAGAACAATAAGGTAGAATCCTCACAATACTCATAAAAATATATTCTGTCTTGAAAAGGTCTTATGTGTATATATAAAGCCNACGTCACACTCAAGATTGAGCGATAAGTCGATGAACGTCGCAAGAAAGATTAATTCTTGAAATAGTTTTTGGAAGAACAATAAGGTAGAATCTTCACAATACTCATAAAAATATATTATGTCTTGAAAAGGTCTTATGTGTATATATAAAGCCTTAAAACAAATCCTAATCTGCTAAGAAAACAAATCCTAATCTAAATAGGAATAACTAAAGTTGGGCTTAAAACAAGTAATCAGCCCAAAATCCCTAAATAACCTAAATCAGTCCATACATCCACTTAATCAGGTTTGTTGGACTTGAATTATATTAAAATAAACTTGAGACCTTTTACCCTTAAAACCCACGCATGCCATGATAGAATAGCCTCCAAACGCACTCTTCATGCTGGAACTTGCACAATCTACTCATATGTCTTGAATCAACCCGTTCAATGCTTTTTTCATCTTTTTCGCTTTCGCCTGAGTCATAAGACCTCTATTTATGCTCAACGGATCAGATTGTATTGCATCATTNGCATGCCATGATAGAATAGCCTCCAAACGCACTCTTCATGCTGGAACTTGCACAATCAACTCATATGTCTTGAATCAACCCGTTCAATGCTTTTTTCATCTTTTTCGCTTTCGCCTGAGTCATAAGACCTCCATTTATGCTCAACGGATAAGATTGTATTGCATCATTCCCCCCCCTCCTCAAAAGGATTTGTCCTCGAATCTTCATCATCTGCAATAAAAGGAGAAAGATAAGTAACATTTAAAGTAGCACTAACACTATACTCACCAGGAAGATCTAGTTTGTAAGCGTTGTCATTTATCCGANTATTGCATCATTCCCCCCCCTCCTCAAAAGGATTTGTCCTCGAATCTTCATCATCTGCAATAAAAGGAGAAAGATCAGTAACATTTAAAGTAGCACTAACACTATACTCACCAGGAAGATCTAGTTTGTAAGCGTTGTCATTTATCCGTACCACCACTTGAAAAGGCCCATCTCTAGGCTGCAACTTAGAACACCTTTGTGCGGGAAAGCGCTCCTTTCGCATATGCACCCAAACCCAATCTCCAGGCTCAAAAACCACCTTCTTATGCCCCTCTTATTAGTTTGAGTAGCATATTGCTTCGTTCGCCTCTCAATGTGCAATCTAACTTTCTCATGCATTTGCTTCACCAATTCAGCCTTTCGTTCTCCATCTAAATTAGCACACTCATCAACCGGCAAAGACATCATATCTAATGGAGTTAAAGGATTAAAATCATTGACAATTTCAAAAGGGAAATAATTAGTAGCAGAATGCACATTACGGTTATAAGCAAATTTGACATGAGGCAAACAATCCTCCCAAGTTTTCAAATTCTTACCAATGAAAGCACNAAAGGATTAAAATCATTGACAATTTCAAAAGGGAAATAATTAGTAGCAGAATGCACACTACGGTTATAAGCAAATTTGACATGAGGCAAACAATCCTCCCAAGTTTTCAAATTCTTACCAATGACAGCATGCAACAAAGTTGAAAGAGTACGATTAGTTACCTCGGTTTACCCATCTGTTTGTAGATGGCAAGTAGTAGAAAAGAGTAATTTAGTACCAAGCTTACCCCACAACGTCTTCCAAAAATATCTCACAAAGTTATCATCACGATCAGACACAATGCTCTAAGGCACTCCATGTAAACGCACCACCTCTCTAAAGAATAAATCAGCTACATTGCTAGCATCATCGGCCTTATGACACAGAATGAAATGTGCCATCTTTGAAAACCTGTCAACAACAACAAACACAGAATTCCGTCCCCGTTTTGTCCTTGGTAAACCTAGCACAAAATTCATGGAAATATCTACCCAAGGTGAACTAAGTATAGGTAAGGGATTATACAAACCATGGGGCTAAACCTTAGACTTAGCCTTTTTACAAGCAACACATTTCTCACAAATTTGCTCAACATTCCGTTTTGTACGTGGCCAGAAAAAATGTTCAACTAACACATCTAAGGTTTTTCTAGCACCAAAGTGTCCCATTAAACCACTCCCATGTGCTTCTCTAACTAATAACTCACGCAACGAACAATTAGACACACACAATCGATTCTCTCGAAACAAGAACCCATCATGCCTATAAAATTAACCAAAACCCGAANCTTCTCTAACTAATAACTCACACAACGAACAATTAGACACACACAATCGATTCTCTCGAAACAAGAACCCATCATGCCTATAAAATTAACCAAAACCCGAGCTCTCACAAGCATCAAACACATTAGTTAAATCAGAATCAATAGCATATAAATCCTTAATGTACTCAAAACCAAGCAACTTTGCATTTAAAGTGGAAACTAAAGCATACCTACGATATAAAGCATCAGCAACCACATTCTCTTTCCCCAGCTTGTATTTGATAACATAAGGAAAGGTTTCAATGAATTCAACCCATTTAGCACAGNCTCGAAACAAGAACCCATCATGCCTATAAAATTAACCAAAACCCGAGCTCTCACAAGCATCAAACACATTAGTTAAATCAGAATCAATAGCATATAAATCCTTAATGTACTCAAAACCAAGCAACTTTGCATTTAAAGTGGAAACTAAAGCATACCTACGATATAAAGCATCAACAACCACATTCTCTTTCCCCAGCTTGTATTTGATAACATAAGGAAAGGTTTCAATGAATTCAACCCATTTAGCACAACGTTTATTCATCTTACCTTGACTATTCAAATGTTTCAAAGACTCCTGATCAGTGTGGATGACAAACTCCTTGGGCCAAAGGTAATGTTGCCAAGTCTCTAACGCCCTCACCAATGCATAAAGCTCCTTATCATAAGTCGGGTAATTCAAGGCTGTCCCATTTAGCTTCTCATTAAAATAAGCTAAAGGACGACCTCCCTGCATTAAAATAGCTCGAATCCCAATACCTGAGGCATCACACTCAACTTCAAAAGTTTGAGAAAAGTCAAGCAAAGCAAGTAAAGGTGCAGAACTAAGTTTTTCTTTAATAAAATTAAAAGCAACTTCTTGGTCTATTCCCCATTTAAAACCTACGCTTTTCTTAACAATTTCAATCAATGGTGCAACTATGGTGCTAAAATCCTTTACAAACCGTCTATAAAAACTAGCAAGACCATGAAAGCTACGTACCTCAGTAATGGTTTTAGGTGTAGGCCATTCTCGAATAGCCTTAACCTTCTCCTCATCAACCTCAATGCCCTTGGCACTAACAACACATCCTAAGAAAACAATCTGATTAGTGCAAAACGAACATTTCTTGAGGTTAGCAAATAACTGAGCATCATNTTAGGTGTAGGCCATTCTCGAATAGCCTTAACC